AAAAAAGCAACAAGATAAGCGAATAGCATTTCCATTGTAATAGCCTTCATGGACTTGCCTTGCTCATGTCTTTTTATACTACATAACATTTCCAAATTTATGTGAGTCACTGCCTTAGAGGACCAGAACCAAAACAAAGCTATCTGGGACGCCATCAACGACTATTATGTTGTTTAATGCATCATAAGAATGCATATAAAAGAAAGTCTCTTCAAAAACATATAGAATGACTGAGAAAGTGGAGCTTGACAAGAACGTAATTATGTGGTTTTTCTTGGGTAATCACTATTCGTTGTTAATAAATCTCTTACCTCCAATTATATAATGGACCTTCATGGTTCATTGCAGCACTACCGCTAGTTTGAACAATTTCCACTCATAAAAGGATGTTTTACTTCTTGCGACTAGTAGTTGTATGCTTCAGCGCCGCCTGAAACGCGAGGACCAAAGATAGTTCCTAAAACTGTAAAGGAAAATTTTTTGCGATGGAGCCAATCATAAGATGGTCATCATTCAAGATCTAAAAAGATAATTTTCATAAATTGAAAATTCATATCAAATTGTTGTAAATGCTTTCCCCTTGAAGCTTCCGTAACTTTCAATATCAGCATAAGCATGGTATTTATCTATTGCTCCTGTTAGCGTGAGTCAAAAATTGAGAACTTGTGAATAAATCAGTTGCCCTAGGGAATTATATTAATTCTAAAAATCTTTTTCTGTTTGTTTTATCGTTGGATCGTGCTCTCCCAAGTTTCATTCATCCACACGCTTTGGATTAGTATGAAGCTTCGAAAATGTGTAAGGATGAAGTGACTCATGCTGTTATTGAGCTAGCCTTACGAAGTCAAAATTCAAAACTTTGTAAGGAAAGCTAACAATTGATATGGAAGAGTCAAAATTCAAAACTTTAAAAGTAAAATGACATTCCCCATCTCATCGGTCATGGGTTTAAAAGTTTTGCATAAGTAAGTTTTAAAATTTACTGAGCTCGCGGCCGCTGATGATATCGTTTTATCGAACTATTAATACGACTTCATCTGCGGTCGAGTTCTGTAAAACATCATTGGCTCATCACAATACAACGCAGTACCTTTACTGCAGAAGCTGGGAAGCTAAATAGTGTGAAAAATTGCTATGAGGTTAAGGAAATCCAAAGGATGGCAGGTGAAGCTGTCGGGAATTTACTTCGTACCTAACAAATGTTTACATTCAAGAACTGCCATTTGCAACAACGAGAAAAACCATCTCAATGAACGTCTGGGCTGG